TTCCTTCCTTCCTTCCTTCCTTCGTAACTATATTGATTTCTCTATATTCTGTAATGTTAAAAATCAAATCTAAGTGACTCCACCAGTCAGAACTCACCTTCATTCACATTTAGGTGTTACACCTCCAGACATTTTCCACTGTTCATTTACATGCAAGTTAAAATAATAAATACTCATAAATATTTTGCAATCCATCTTTAATGACAAAGCACATACATACTATGAAAACACCAATAGCTCAAGTGGGAGCCAGGTGCCCCTACTGTGATCTCATTTTACACTGTCAACAGTTTTGTGATGGAGACTCTCTTGTCAAGCAGGAGATGGGGCCTAGCGAGATTAAGCAACACTGCTTTACATCCATCAGTGTAGATCCATTGTAGGGTACCCAATGACTTTCTAGATGTATTAGAATGTGCTTAACTGACACCCCTACTCCCTACTAAGGCCTTCTGGTAGCTTGAGCTATTCTTATCCAAGAGAGTCAACCCTTTGCCTGTTCCTTCCCTTTCTAAAATCTCATTTTATACACGGCTGTGGTGGGATGGGACCCCAAAGCCACTAATCTCCATTAAAAAGTACACCTAAGGTTGACTCTTTTCCTTCTTTGCTTCTTAGTCCTAATTTACTGCCTCAGAATTCAAAATCCTATGTGTCCCATTGAGGGAAGACTGAAGAGCCAGAGCTCATAAACAGCCCCTTTACCTTTCTGCCTGAGACTAGACAGGCAACCCTGCCCCCTACCCCCGCCCCACCGCCCTAGTGGTTCTCAGCATCCAAATTCTCCCCCAAGCTGCCTTCATCCCCCATGGATTGTCAACATAAAGCCAATCGGTGGTCCAGGGAATCTTGCCATGATGGCAGAGTCTTGCTAGGGGACTATCCATCCCTGAGGGGCAGGTGACTTGAGTGTGACTCTGGCCCCAGGAGTTCCACTGTTAGCTGTGGTACCATTGTCAGGAGAGTTGATGGAATGTCCACCCTTGCTTGTGGTCTCCAGGTATCCTGATGAAAACCAAATGTGTACAGCTATCTGCTTCATCCTGTTTACTCTTCCACATGTGACCCACTGCCCACCACACACCAGGCACTGCTACAGCCCTGGATATAATGTTCCCTTGGGGCTGGAGAAAGGGCTCAGTGGTTAAGATCACTGGCTGTTCTTGCAGAAGACCTAGGTTCGAATCCCAGCACCTACATGGCAGGTGACAACCATCTGTAACTCCAGTTCTAGGGATCTGATGCCCTCTTCTGGCCTCTGCAGGCATTGCACGACAAGGGTGCCCTTACGTACATGGAAACATAACACTCATGCACATAAAATAAGAATAAATAAATAAATAAATAGATAGATAAAGTTTAAAATGTTTCCTTATAGCCAGGCATGGTGGTGCATGCCTTTAATCCCAGCACTTGGGAGGCAGAGGCAGGTGGATCTCCGTGATTTCAAGGCCAGCCTGGTCTACATAGTGAGTTCCAGGCCAGCTGGGGCTACAGGGAGACCCTGTATCAAAAAGACCAAGAAAAAAAAAAATTGTTTCCTTATACCTCATCCTGAGTAACATTCACAGCTAGCCCATGAGAAGAGCATCACTACTGAACCCATTTCATAGATGGAAAAGACACTCTAGGGGTTACAAGATTGCCTTGCATCATGTAGGCTCGTGAGCTGGGGAGCCACTCTGTTTCCTTGGTGGGTTGAAGCCCTGTGTTCTGTCTTCTTCAGCACTCTTGGGAGCTGTTGACCTATGACTATTTATGTATAATAACATCAGCATTTGCAGTTCCTCAGGCCAGCTGATGAAACTGACGAAGCCACACCTAGGCCTTTTCATTCTGGTGTTTCAAAATCAATAATGTTCCTGGGAGGAAGGTCTTGTTCTCCTCTGTCACCTGGTCTGTACGTTCAGAGACCTTGGCTCTGTCTGTCTTGCAGCGCATGGTTGTGAATCTCTTCTCTTGATTATCCATCTTTAACCTTAGTGTCTTAGATGTTTATATATCACTAGGCTTTGCAGAGATGTTTGTGAAGAAGTCCGCTCATATACACTTTCCCTGCTGGAGTAAAAATGACCATGGCGTGTGTGTGCTAGCAGGAAGTCTATAAAATTCACTTAATGAACAATTCTCAGGGATAGTTTAGTTTCTAAATGCAAGCAGGGAACAGTGCTAGCTCATACCCACCTGATCACTCATTACATTATTCAGCTTTGATTTGGTACTAAAAACATAAACTATTGAAGAAGGCTCTAGGGGAAGTGGATTTATATGTTGCTGCTTGGAATATAAAAGGGTGCATGGTTTTAAATGAAAAAAAAAGGCTCAGATAAACAGTTTGGCAGAACATTATCAAAACCCTTTAAATATGTGTGCAATCCATGACCCAGGAATTCTGGCTCAGCAATGCTGTCTGAAGACATAGACTCAGAGGTCTAGCTGGCTAGCTGGGAGGATTTCTATCACGGTATGCTTTGTACTAGAAACATCTGAAAATAAGAGGAGCTCAGGTGCTGGAGGACTGAAAAATTGAATTATGTCACATCCATTCATTGAATAGTGTGCGGCAATTAAAGGACTATTGAATAGGGCAACACTAAGGCAATTGTTATGTACATCTTGGAATGGACATATCTTCTAAGTGAAAAAAAGCTACAAAATATATGCCTTCCTTTTTGGTTAAACTGAAACAGGAAAGAAAAGGAAATGAAAAGATGCAAGTGTGGAGAGAAGGATCTAGAAAAAATGGTAATTGCTGAGTAATGAGGTTCTGATCTGTCTTTCCCCCTTTTTGGTTATCTGTGGTTTTCTTTTTTCTATAATGCAGCATAATCATTCTCTAACAAAGAAAAATAGATTTATGTAAGCAGAGTCCTTAGAAAGCCCCCCTCCCACTTCTTAATCCTTTCTCAGGCAAGTTGGTCACGAATGCTGGCTGCCTATGCAAGGGAAGGAAGAACCAAGCTCAGGCTGGACTTTTCCAGTTAGAAAAAAGCCCAACCATGTATCTCTTTTCCTTGTTACCCTGGGGCTTTAGCTGTGATCGGATTTAGATGGGCTCTGGTGTTACCGGCGTGATTAGGATGAGTAGCTGGGAAGACAGCATCAGTTTGTCTCGCTTCCCTAGGTATATGTGTGCACATGTGTGCGTGTGTGCACAGACCAGAGGTCAATGCCAGCTGTCTTCCTCTTTGACCATCCACCTTATTTTTTGAGACACGGTCTCTCGCTGAACCTGGAGCTTACTGATTCAGCTAGAATGGCTGACCTAGAAGTCCCAGGGATCCTCCTGTCTCCTTCTCCCCAATTCTGGGATTACAGGCATGTGCTGAGGTGCTGGGGATCCTGAATTTAGGTCCTCGTGCTTGTGCGGCAAGCACTTTGCCTACCGAGCTATCTCCCCAGCTCCTGCTTTCCTGCTTCTGCCCATCACCATTACTCTTGCAGAGAACGGGCAGACAGGAGAATGGTAGTCCAAAGACTGAGTCACCGGCTCTTTAGGCAGGTTCCCCCCAGGACGTTCCCTGATGGTGTAAATAGCACTTTATGTAGAGAAGGGACTTACTTTTATGACTTTGAGGATTTTTGAAACTTGCTGTTGAATTTTTGAAAGAAAATATGAGTCATTTATGATCTCATTAGGATGTTTATCTCATTAAACAATATATTAGTAAACTTTCTTCTTGTCTCTTCAGCCATAGCACAGAGAGCAATATTATTAGTAGAGATTCAAAGCTCATTGCAAACTGAATTGAAGGGAAAAGTGCCAGTTATTATAGCATCAGGCTTTCTCCCTGTGGGCTAATCTCATGGTCACCGAACTGTGTGCTGAGATGCCCAGGCACTGCTGTGAATCTAATGGGCACTGTGAGATATATTAACTTTTTGACAAAAGCATAGTGACCAGTATCTGGTGTTTTCCAGATGCCATGCAAACTATCCTCAAGATGTTTATGGTTTTGTATTTTTTTATTTTTGTGTTTTGTTCTGTCTTTGTGGTGCCGGGGATAGAACCCAGAGCCTTGCACATGCCATGTAAGCACTTCTACCTCTCCAGCCCTGAGTTTATTTTAATTAATTAATTAACAGGGTCTCATGTAGCCCAGGTTGGTCTTGAACTCACAGTGTAGCTAAGGTTGGACTAGGATTCTTGATCTTCCTACCTCCACCTCCCAAGTGCTGGGACTACAGGTGTGTGCCATCATACCGTGCCTGGCTTGACTACATGATTTTAATATTGGATCATGAAAAACTAGGTGGTCCTCAGGTACTGTGATAAAAGGCAAATACTGAACAGGACAAAACCAGTATGGAAGAGGAAATGAAGATGGTGGTGTCCAATCTGATATTAAAGTTTGAGAAGTTGTGCAATGCCCGATAGGTTCAAAATTGTCAAGACATAAATATTTATGAACTGTTTGGACTTATTTACTTAATAAACAGGACTTTACATGTATCCTTTTGGTCTGAGAATGCCTTGGAAAATTACTGAGCTAGTAAGGGTACAATGATCTAAGAAGTTTGGAAACCTCTGGATTAGTCCTGACCACACAGATCTTTTTCAAAAAGTTGTGTGTGCATATGATTCTCTGAGAAAGGAAGACCACAGACCCCATCATGATTATCATGGTGTTGAGAGAGGGGTCTGCTGGGCAGAGGCAAGGGAAGGTAGATTAGACTAATCACTCAGAATTCAAAAAGAGGCCTCCCATTGGCTTTAGATGGGAATCATTTTGTGTGTAGGTGCTGATTGTAATTAAACTTGAATATCATTGGGGGGACCATCTCCCTAGTTTTCTACAGGCTTCTCCAGTCCTTACTGCTACATCTGCTCTACCTTATTATTTTAAGCCATTTGGGTTTGTTGACCCCTGCTAGAGGAGTTAGAACCTCAAAGCCAAAGGCAGAACCACACAGGGAAGGAGCACATACGGATGTGGGAGATCAGGTTTAGAATATTGCTAGAGTTCCTATGCCATCCAGTCTCCTGTTCATTTTTACTTTATGTGTATGAGTGCTTTGCCTGCATGTGTGTAAGTGTGCCCATATCATGCAATGCCCGAGGAGGGCAGAAGATGTCGAATCTTCTGGAACTGGAGTTACAGATGGCTGTTAGCTGCCATGTGGGTGCTGGGAACCAAATCTGGGTCCTCTGCAAGAGCAACCAGTGCTCTTAACTGCTGAGCCATCTCTCTAGCCTATGCCATTCAATCTTGAGAAGATTTGAGATCTTCTTGGTTAATTTTTATGTTATGAGTGTTTTGTCTGCATGTATGTAAGTGTGTCACATACACACAATGCCCATGGAGTGCAGAAGAGGGCATCAGATCCCCTGGAACTGGAGGTATGGGTTGTTGTTAGCTGCTATTTGGGTACTGGGAACTGAACCTTGGTCCTCCAGAAGAGTAATCAATGCTCTTAACCATGGAGCCATGTCTCCAGCCCCAAAACCCAAAGCCTGGCACACAATGTGTGTGTCAACTCCTCCTTAACACAAAGCCTGGCACACAATGTGTGTGTCAACTCCTCCTTAACACAAAGCCTGGCACACAATGTGTGTGTCAACTCCTCCTTAACACAAAGCCTGGCACACAATGTGTGCATCAGCAAGGTGCTTCAACTGAACAGTGAAAGAGATCCTTTTTAAAATAGAAGACATAGTCCAGATATACAGTGACAAGTTGTTCAACAACTCAGTTATCTGGAAAACCCCAAAGTGTGAGCTGTATTTCCAGGGTTCTGTGGGGAGGACAGTCAATGTTAGAAAGAAAAAAGTCCCAAGGCCTCCATGGGTCTCTTCAGTGGTTTTGATTCTGGACACACATACCTGCATGTGCTATTGGGACCCTCTGAGTATGATGTTTCTCTCTTTAAGATCTGCATAGACTCAATATCATGCAACCATTTGCATGCACAGGTGTGAAAGTTCAGCATGAATGTATTGCATCCACTTGACATGTCAACCCTAAATATTTAAGAAAACATTCCTGTTTTTTTAAGATTTATTTTTAAAGTGTTTTAAATTATTTTTATTTATGTGTTTGTGTCTCTTTGTATGCAAGTGCCTGAGGAGGCAAAAGAGGGTGACCTTGAACTCATGATTCTCCTGCCTCAGCCTCCTGAATGCTGAGATTACAGGTATGCACCACCACGCCTGGCTGAGACCATGTTTTTGTGTGCTTAGGTTACAGGATCCCTCCTTGAGGAGACAACTCGGAAATGGGCTCAGTATAAGGAGAAGTGTCTAAGAGACTTGCTCAATGAGCCTTCTGGTAAGCACATGTATTTGCTATCTGTTGCTGTGTAACAAGTCACCCTCAAGCTTAGTGCTTAAAGCAGTGATAATCATTTATTATCTCTTACGGTTTCTGTGGGGCAGGAATTCAGGGCACACTGAGCATGGCTTCTTTCAACCTTTCAATATCTGGTGCATAACTAGGAGACTCTGAGGCTGGGAGTTGGAATCACCAAAGACAGCTCTGTGTTCCTGTCTGCTGGTTGGCACTGGTTCTCAGTGAGAGTTTAGTGGTGACTGGTGGCCAGAACCTCCCTACTTGGCCTCTCCATGGGAACTGGGCTTCTTTACAGTGTTTGGCTGGGCTGCCAAGGGCTAACGTTACCAGAGACCATATTGCCTCTGTGACCTGGGCCTTGAAAGTCACATGTCCCTTCTGCCATGTGCATTTGGATGAGAGAGTTATAAAGTACTACCTGGACTCAAGTGGAAGGAGCGTAGACTGACTTCTCATGATAAGGGATGTAATGTGCATAGGTAAAGCATCTCTGATTACAGCCATCTGCCACAACACACTTACTGCCTTGCTGTCTGACATGAATAGCTGCTGTAGGCTGGCCTGGGAAGCTAATAGTGGTGTGGAGGCTCTCTATCTGCCAGGGTGTTAACTGGGCCTGAGCAATACCATTTCTCTTTTCCAGTTTTCACTGGGTTTGGAGCATTCTAGCAAATGTGTAATAGTTTTGTCAGTCTACAGGTTCACCTTTTCATATAGTGGCACACTGAGTCAATCCACATATACCACACCTACTCTAAAAAGAAAGGCAGAAAATGCCTTGGCTCATTTTTTCTTAGCACTGGGGACTATGGACAAAGGCTGCCCTTCCTTTGCCTCTGGAATGATTTTGGATCATTTCATTCAGTTGCCTGGAGGTGACAGACGCAATCTGCTTCCTCTTGCTTTCTTGACCCAAAGCCAGTGACAGCCTTCAAGCTATTCCAGGTCTGTGAACACCCCTTTTCTCCAGGCTTGATGTCAACTACAAGAACCACTTCACTTCAAGGGAATACTGCTTCTGAGGTCAAAGTAGGGCAGATCCTCTTCATCGGGAGCCAGGCTGCAAGCAGCTGTATCTGCAGGTTCCAAAGCCAGGAACTGGTTATTTACCCCAAGCTGCCCATGAATTCCAGCCTAATAAGGAGAAGGTGGGGAGAGGGATTGATGCTTGGCTTCTAAGAAGTTGAGGAACTTGTGGTGTGCAGTGCCTCCATTTCATTCTAGAAACTCTGTCAGGCTCAGTTCTAAGTTTGTAGCTTCCAATTACCCAACACTGATATATAAATCATCCCCTCAACTTGAGATGGCCCCAAACTCTTGTAATAATCATTGAGATAATATTCAAATGGAGAGATATGACTATATAGAACTGCATGGTATATACGTGATCAAGAGCCTCAGTCCCACAGCTCCCTATAGGTCTGCTGAGCATTTTGCATAGTTCACAGTCATTGTGTTCTATACTCACGAACTTTGGTGACAGTTTGACAAACATTTAGTTATGGAACATAAGGTACTGGAACTTCCAAGTGTCTTCCTCCTGATTCCGAGTCTCTATGAGGGTTTGAGTCACATATAATAAAGCAGAGTCAATGAGACATGCACATTGGCTGGAGATCAAGTTGGGCAGACAAAGGCACAATGCTCGGCGCTACTTTCTACAGCCCTGTGTTCCCCAGTCATTCTTCATCCTTGACTGATCCAGGGAGAGGGGTGTTCATGTTGGTTTCTGAGAAGCTTACAACAGCTTCCAGTGGCAGGAAGGTGGGCTCTGTTAGATTTAGGAGAGCAGAAAAAAGGAGTTTAAAGTTAAGAAATAAGAACCAGAGCCAGACCTGCAAGAGGCAAGGAACATGTTTCTTTATTCAGGAGACCATAGCAAAGGGCCGGTGCTGTCTGCGGAAACCAGGCATCAACAAAAGCAAGGCAGAGCAATCTGGACTTTTATAGGCACTCTGCTGAGTTCAGCTGCAGGAATCTGCTAGGTGTCAGTGTCCTTGGGGTAACTGAGGGTCTTCCTCCTGAGGTTATTTTCTCAGGATGAGCAGGCAAGTTATCTTATGGCACCAGAGAAGTTAGGTTAACACTGTAAACAAACTGTCAGCCAGGGAAGTGACCAGTTGATAAGGCTAGAGCAAAGGCCAAGCCACCAATCTGGAACATTGGGCTACCTTGAAGAATGTGTGTCCTTATGGCTTCCTTTGAAGACGCTTATGGCTCTCCTACAATTTACACATTCTGTCAGGCTCTGCGCTCCTTGTCTTTCTGCTTCTATCAGAAGACCCTGTGATGAAACACTGATGTTTATTCCAGCCCCTTTTCTCCCCATAGGCATATTTTGTAATGGAACATTCGATCAGTTTGTGTGTTGGCCTCATTCTTCTCCTGGAAACGTCTCTGTTCCCTGCCCTTCCTACTTACCTTGGTGGAATGAAGGTAATGAGTCTTATCATACCAGTTTCTGACAGTTCCTCAGAAGGACAGCTCCTCCAGGTAGACCAGCCAGTGGACAGTTAGACAAGATGCTAACCTGACCAAGAATTCCAAGTCCTTTTCCTCCATAAAAGTCTCCATGTAAGCTCCCAGTATTGTGTCTCATTTCTTTGCCTTTTTTTTTTTTTTTTGAAGTATTGGGGAGTGAACCCAAGGCATCATGTATGCTAGGCAAGTATTCTCTCATTGCACTATATCCCCCATACCCCTTGTTGTCTCCTCTTTTCTTCTTTAGGTTTTCTTCTTAGGTTTCACTTTTATAGTAGCTTTATAAGTGAGGGGGGGAGGGAGGGAGAGAGAGAGAGAGAGAGAGAGAGAGAGAGAGAGAGAGAGAGCGCTTGAAGTCCACATCCAGCTACCACAGAATATGGTTGTATTGAGAAGAATGAGCCACAGGTCTCAACTTGGTCACGGGGAGGAAAAAGGAAAAGAAAAGACTGGGAAGCTCCTATCCATACAATGTGTGCGTTTTATATAGAGAAAGGACTCTAAGTCTTCCTTTGCTTCAACTTTGAAAGGATGTGCCATTTTGGTGGTGTTATACTCCACGGAACTCGCATGGAGACAGCTCAGCTTACCCTGATTTGGTTTAAAGGAAGTAAATTTTACTTAGCAACCTAGGAAAACATCCTATCTCCATCTACTCCAGAAGTTTGATCTCTTGGTCATTTTATTCTGGAAGTAGAGGAACGGTATTAGTTAAAATCCTGTTGCTTATGCCTCATCCATGTACAAACAGGATAGCTAAAACTGTTGGCAGGAAAGCACGGTTGGAGGCTTCAGGTAAAACAAAGTGAGAATAAGTTTCTGAGACGTGTACAGGATAACATTTCATATGTAATTTCAGTCCAGTATGTAATCCTATGAGTGGTAATTTGGTTTCAAGTAGAGAGAGAGAGAGAGAGAGAGAGAGAGAGAGAGAGAGAGAGAAACCTAGAAGGAAGACGTCTTTCTGGAAACAATGCTTAGTCACCTGTCTTTTGGAGGTTCCTCTCCTCTCATGAAATCTAGTTACAATCAACCCAGGAGACATGAAGATACTATGTTTCTAGGATGGTGGGAAGGAAAGTGCCGAAGAACTTTCTGGACTCAGAGAGGTCTGAGTGGCTCAGGCATGTAGTCCCTATGGGAATTAGCTCAATGAGAAGTGGACATGAAGTCAGGAGCCCAGAGGTTACACTCAGTCTCTATTTTTACACTTTGAAGTTTGGGGCATGTTCCTAGGAGGAACTCCTAGACTGTGTCTGTAAAGTGAAGTGATAACTGACTCTTAAGATCATTTTGAGGGATAAAAGAAGAAACAGTCTCAACCTAGTGGGAGTATCACAAATGGGAGCCAAAACTGAGTCCAAGCTTGAGACCCTTGACTCCTTTAGGTCATTCATGTCCCCAGTCACCACAGACACCTCCTTGATGCAGGGACAGACACCACCTTCCACCTACCGCTTCCCTACCTCTTTCCAGGAGGCAAAAGTACAGGTCCATTCCTTCTAGGAGAAAAAATGATCCAGAGCACATGTTTATGAAGAAGGTGAGTTTTAGGCTCCTCCGGAAAATGGAGCCTGGGTTTCTGAAATGAACTAAATGGAACTTGATTTGCAAAATGTGGGAACTGACCCTCACATTCAACATTTTTTTTGCATTAAAATTTTAGAATCCAAATAGATTTCTAAAGTCAAAAGAGAACATGAAAACAATGGAAGGGTTTGGAATAGAATCACTCCAAATGCCAAGGGATGCAGAATGATCCTTTGAGATGAGACAAAAGGAATGAGATTCTGATGTGCAAAGGATCATGACTGCACTGTCCCCACCCCATGATGACTGCTCTGTCCCACCCTGTGATGGCTGCTCTGTCCCACCCTAGGAGGGCTGCTCTGTCCCACCCCATGGTGGCTGCTCTATCCCCTGCTCTGTCCCACCCTGTGATGGCTGCTCTGTCCCACCCTGTGATGGCTGCTCTGTCCCACCCCATCATGGCTGCTCTCCCACCCTGTGATGGCTGCTCTTCCACCCTGTGATGGCTGCTCTCCCACCCTGTGATGGCTGCTCTCCCACCCTGTGATGGCTGCTATATCCTACCCAAGGATGGCTTGCTCCATCCCCACCCGATGCCTCTTGCTCACTCTTCTATCCAGGACGCCTTCTCAAGGTTCTGCCTATAACTCCAACTTCAATTCTCACCTCTAATCTGCCCTCCTTCTAGAAAATTTCTCCTGCTTCTTCCCAGAAGGCAAAAGGCTCCTGTCTTTCTGTGGTCTCTCCTGCACCTGCATAGTGCCTGCTTTAGCATTTCTAACAGTTTGTGGCACTTTTATGTTCACTCTCCCAGCTTGGTGTTGGGCTGTGCTCTCAGCAGGAGTATGATGACTGCCATCGACAACAAAGTGCCAAATGGTATCATTGCCGTCTGCTCATTCACTTAATATTTATTGATCATCCACTGTGTCCTGGGCATTGGATCTATTAGTGACCAAAACAGAAAAAATTCTTATCCTTCAGGGTACATGTTTTAGTAAGGAAGGCAGCCAATAATCATTGGCATCATTTGTAAGTAGAGATGCGATATATTTTAGACAAGACAGGAAGGAATGGGAAGACTGGGGCAGTGACAGTGGGTATTTGAGGAAGGCTTCAATGGCAAGGTGATGTTTCAGTGACGACTTAGGGAGGCCAGAGTATTAGCCAGGAGGGGAGCTGTGTTTAGAAGCAAGCACACAATAAGCAGTGTCCCAGCTGTCGGTGAAGATTTTGCCTGGTCTGTTCCAGGAAGAGGAGAAGGTAAATATGAATGGAGCTGAGGGGAATGAGAGTAAGAGGTAGGGACAGAGATGTGGGGGCTAGGTCCTACAAGACCTTGTGGAAAGGACTCCCTTATCCTTAGAAAGCTCTTGGAAGATTTTGAGCAGAAGCATGCCAGCCGGGCTATCGTAGCTGTGAGGGCCTGTCAGAGGAGCTTGTCCAGGGAAGACATGAGGGCTCCAATCAGGAAGGAAGTGGGAGGTGGAATGTGGGGTTGGATTCAGGATCTATGTGAAGATAAATATGCCTGGCTAATGGAGTAGATGGGAGCAGAAAGAAGATAGGAATGGCCTAAAGATTAGGGTTAGAAAATCAGTTGGGCTTGCCACACACTGAGGTGCGAAAATAATCTATGGGTGAAGCAGATTTGGAGGAGAAGGTGAAGAGCTTGGTTTGGAGCATGTTGTTTGACCCTAGCAAAGATATCAGCTGGGCAGGGTAGATGTGCTTTTGGTGGGTATCAAACAACCAAATTCAGCAGATAGCTGCTGTTGGTCTATGCAGTGCAGGGTCTGAGTCATGAAGTTCTGGCAAGTTTTCACTTCTTAATGGCATATCCTAGCTGGTCTTCCAGGTTGAAGGACCTTTAGAGAGGGCCATCTGGGCTTCTAGCAACAAGAACGGGCAGAGTGTTTACCCATCATCTGCACACACACATTTAATCTTTCCTCAATCAGAGAATGGGTACCAGTATTGTCCCCAGTTCCTGAGGAAGACACCAATAAGCTCAGAGAATGAGAAACTGGGCCCAAGACACCAGCTCATGAGATGCTAGTGCATCAGGTCAGCCCTGAGCCTGTTTGCCTTGTGCCCACCCACTGCTTTCTCTTCATGATGCCACCTCTTAGGCATCAGGAAGAGATGTCCCACCGAGCATGCTCAAGGGCGCATGTCGGCAGCTCCCAGTAAGCTGTACCTTACAGGGACTATAACAACTCTGAGTCACCAGGGACTGTTCTAACTGCAGGCACACAGATAAACAAAACAGACATTAGAGGATCATGTACTGGTACAAAATCTAGAGGCTTCCGTGTTTTTCTTCCCATCCCAAATAAACAGTAGTGATGTTAATGAGTCCCCAAATGGAGAAATGAAAATCCCTTTTCCCTGGGATTTTCCACAGTTTTGCAGCCAGGGAGAGGACCTTCTAGCACGCTTAGGGAACGGGCTGTGTGTTCTGACCTTTCCTCTAGAGCTTTGTTTACTTTCAGAGGGCTCAGGAAGGGCCTACAGACACTGCTTGGCTCGGGGGACTTGGCAGACGCTAGAGAACGCCACAGATATTTGGCAGGATGACTCCGAATGCTCTGAGAACCACAGCTTCAAACAAAACGTGAGTCTGCTGGGCTTGGTGATAAAATGTCTAGGGCCAGAACTATCCTCCTCTGGGGCACCTAGGGAATGGCTAGCTTTAGGGACTACACAAAGAACTCTCCCAGCTCCTCTGCTCCAAATCCCACAGTCACACAAGAAGGCAATCCCCATAGCAGCCACAAAATTTCCTTCTCTGTAAGATCAAACATGAAGTCCTACCCTTTGCACCTGCCATGTGGTATATCTGGAGCACTTTCCACAACAACCTCTCATCATTCAGGTTTCTTGGTCAATCTAGAGTGGACCAGTGGCCACTTTTTCTTACATTCCTGATTGAATTGCTATATTGCACCTGCCTCTCTGAAATTCCTGTGTGTTTGGTTACTCCTTATCTAGCCCTCCCTCCAAAACGCAGGTCCAGTGACATCAGGGGAAGCAGGGCAGCACAGCACAGAGTCTGGGGTCAGTCTGTGTATCCAGACTTTTCATGTCCTGGCTGTGAACTTGTGCAAGTTATTTTGCCCGTTGGTGCCTCTGCTTTCTCGCTCATCCCATGAGGATCATACTTGCTGCATGGAATGATTGTGAGGCTTTGGGCAGTCAAGAGACATAAATTTCTTAGGCAAAATTCTGGCATGCGGTTAGCAAGCTCTAAGTAGACGTTAACATGCTATCACCACGGTCCAGGATCCAGAGATGTAACTGCTCAGCAAAGCATGCTGGCAGCTTGGCAAATGCTAAGTGGATGAACAAACCCACCTTTCAGACTTCTCTCCCTGTATTTTCTCCTTCTCTCCCCATCTTTCCCCCTTCCCTCCTGTCTTTCCCCTCCCTTCTCATCTCCTTTCTTTGACAGGGTTTCAGTATGTAGCTTAGGTTGTCTTCAAACTGATGAGTCTCCTGCCTCAACCTCCTGAGTGCTGGGATTATAGGTGTGTACCAGCATACCCAGTTCCATGTTTTCCTTCTGAGGCAGGGTAGAAAGGCGGGGGGAATCTTGGGGACATGAGAACGGGAGAGAAGCCCCTCATTCTGGAATCCAGTTGAAGCATTTGGCAGCAGTGGAGCAAAACTTCCAGCACAATTGACAACTGCTTGAGGCCTTTCTCCCTTCCCAGCCATGAACCTGCAGTTTTCTAAAGCTCTCACCAGAAACCCCATTTACAAGAAAAGGACAGGTATTCACCACCTTCTGCAAGCCTAGTGGCCTTTGGTTTCATTTTACCTGTTTATAATTTCATTTATGGCTTCTTTGTGGCCACCTTGTGTAGCTCTTATCAAAAGAGAGGGAAATAAAAATGTTTCCTAGAAAACTTTTGATGTGTAACTTGAGAGTCACCAAAAGGGTACAGATAACTGATGCTAAGTCAGTCAATTGCTTATTCTCCCTTGAGGAGTCCATACCCATATTGGGGTATGCTTGATTTTCCCATACTTTCTTTTGTGGAGCCTGTACCCCCACTTGGGTATGTCTTTCTTCTGAACAACCCCTCTCTCTTAATCTTTGTTCTTAAGCCTGGATTTAAAGTTAAAAATTTTTAATAAAGGGGTTAAAGAGATGGCCCAGTGGTTAGGAACACTGGCTGCTCTTGCTCAGGATCTGAGTTCAATTCCCAGCACCCACTTGGTGGCTAACAACCGTCTGTAGCTCCAGTGCCAGGAGAATCCAATGCCTTCTTTTGACCTCCGCAGGCATTGCATGACATGGGTACACTTACACTCATGCAGGCAATACACTAATACACATAAAATAAAAATAATAAATAAAATACTTTTAAAAACTAACAAAACTTTCAATCCTGCTTCATTATATCAGCTAAGTCTGAAATTCCTTTCAGTGTCGAATCCGTGAATCCAGGTTTGGTTTGAGTTGAGGTCTCTAGAGGCTTTGGGGAATTCCTCAGGCTAGTGAGGGTGAAGTGTGGAGCTGGGTCTCTATCTCCTTACTGCTAACACTTCTAGGATTCAATTCTGAGGCCCCTTGGGCACAGCCTTTCTCCTCCTCCTCCTCCTCCTCCTCCTCCTCCTTCTCCTCCTCCTCAACCTACCAGGGAGCTCATCCCTGGAGAAAATTCTCTCTCTTTCTCCCTGCCTTTTTCTCCTTTTTTTCAGACAGGGTCTCCCTGTAGCCTCAGCTGTCTTGGAACTCACTGTGTAGTCCAGGGTGACCTTGAATTCACAGAGATCCACCTGCCTCTGCCTCCTGAGTGCTGGGATTAAATATGTGTGCCACCACACCTCTGTGCCACCATGCCTCTATTTTCTCATTAGGCTCCTGATCTCCTCCTCAAGTTACCTGTTTGTCCAAATCCTGCCCACCCGCCTTTCAAAGTCAAGTGTAAGGGAGCAGCATGGAAGAGAGGAGGAGATGCTGAAGAATCCGACAGATGTGTCTTATATTCTATCAGTTATGCCACAAACATTAATGAAACACCTACCGTGTGCCAGGTCTTTGCACCAGGCACAGGGGATCTACCAGTCCTGGATGGAAACTGATTTTAAGGTGCTTAGAATCTCACAGGATAAACCAACAGGGTGATAACTGCTGGGACAAAAGTATAGGATGCCCAAGGCCACAGCAAAGGGGGTACTGATACACACTGGGGACAGGGAAGGCTGCCCAAGCTGAGCCTGAGGGCTAGAAGGAATTGTCCATGGGAAGAAGAATGAGAGCAAGAATTTTCTTGGCAGAAGAAAAAGCACATACACAGGGTCAAAGACTGGGTGGACTTCCACTACTAGGGTGAGATGTGAAATCCTAGAAGTTTCTCTTCCCTCATTGCCTTCACATTGACCTGGAATACCTTTCCCAGCTCCCTCATGCCTGGCTGTTCCTCATCACTCATAGCTCAGCTCCAAGTCTCCTTCCAAAAGGTGACTCCTGTGTATTGATGTAGGACCAAAGGAAGAAGACAGAGGTGGGTTGGAGACCTTTAGAGAGGTGAGATGGTGAGGCCCCTGTACCTGTGAAGGATTTATGACTTTTCAGGTTGAAGTGTGGAGGGGCGTAACTCAGAACAGGTTTGATAGATTGAAATGGCAAGTTAGAATGAGGTGGGACTGGGTCAGGCTGGAGGCAAGAGGCAGGGAGAGCAGGTAGGAGGCAAGTGGCTAATTTCTTTCATCATTTAGTTGGAATTTGAAATTCTTTCTTGTTATTTGTGTATGTGTGTCGTGTGTGTGTGTGTGCGTGCGTGTGCATGCCATGGTGCACATGTGGAGGACAGAGAGGAACTTTATGGAACCAGTTTTTGTTTTCTATCTTTATATGGGTCCCAAGGATCCAATTCAGATCACCACACTTGCACAGCAAGCATCATTACCTTCTGAGTCGTCTACTAGGGGCATTTTTAAAGTCAAAAGTTTGGAAATGGGAAGGGAAGAAGTTCAGTTCCACAAACACTGTGCAGCCCAAGCCTAGTCCCTGTCTAGGCACATGTAAGAGAATGTTGGTAATCTTCCCTTCTTATGGCTAGTTAGCCAGCTCCCTGTTGATGTAACCAATACTTAAGATAACCAACCCATAAGGAGAAAAGGTTTATTTTGGCTCATGGTTTCAGTCTGGAGTTGCTTGTTCTCATTTCCTCTGGGTCTGTGGCAGGACAGGACAATAATTATGTCATGGTAAGAGCACAAAGTGGAAGAAGATGCTCACTTCACAGCAGCCAGGAAGCAAAGAGAGAGGAATGGGTGTGGTCTCACTGTCCTCTTCAAGGGCATGTAGCCAGTGATCTAACTTCCCCCTACAAGGCTTCACCTCTTAATAGTTTCACCACCCCCAGTAATTGTACAGGCTGGTGACCAAGCCTTTACACATGGATCTTAGAGAGGCACATTCAAACTATGATATCCTAGATGTGAGACTTGAAGGGTCAATAAATGTAGAATAGTGAATCTATGTCCGGGAACCATTATGAACTTGATAATTACTATTACTGCTTTTTTTTTTCCTGCTCCTCTGACAACAACAAAAACCCTCTTTCCTTCCTGGTCTTCTCTGGCCCATGTCTAGTGTTCATAGTATAATTGTGAATAAGAACTTTTGGTGTCTGTGAAAGTGACTTTTCTTCACTGGATTGTTGGTTGTGTGCCCATGTGTGCAGGTACACATGCCTGTAAAAGCCAGAAGAGGACATCAGAAGTCTTGCTGTATCATTCTTTACCTTATTCTCTTGAGACAGGGTTTCTCACTTATCCTAGAGTGAGGCTGCCAGTCAGCAAGCCCCTACAATTTTCCAGTCTCTACCTCCCACAGCACTAGGATTACAGGTGTATGGGCCATGCCCAGATTTTTACATGGGTACTGGGGATTCAAATTCAGGTCCTCATGTGTATGTAGCAAGCTTTCTTAGCCCCTGAGCCATCTCTCTCACCTATGGTTGATTTTTTTGAGGCTTGGTCTCTCTATGTGGTCAAGACTGACCTATACCTTGCGATATAGCCCAGGATGGCCCCAAACTTGCCCTTCTGCCTCAACCTCTCAAGTGTTAGGATACAGGTGTGTGTAGCCATACCTGGCTTGGACTTTTTAATGGGCTATTTCATTTGACTTTCAAAAATCAAAATTCTAGTTTTCTCTGAAGTTATTAAGATTAACTTATATAATTTGTTATTCTATTTACATAACAATGTTTAATAAGCTTAGGTTTTCCAGTGGGTCACTGCAAGTTAGCAAGTGGGCTCTCACAAGTTTCCGACCACATTACATTACAGAGTCTACTAGGGCAGTTGGTTTCACTGTTTCACCATGTTGAGTCCCATGTCCTTTCCTTTAGAAAGTTTTTCCAGGTTCGAAGTAGCTCATTAGCTAATTATTTGGTCCTAATTCATTGAAGTCTGCTTCCCCCACCCTGGCTATGACTCACTTCCTTTAGAGCTGGTGGGACCTTGCATGCCCTTGGCTATCCTTAGGTGTGCGCTGTCTTCCTATTGGGTACAAATGGATCTTAGGATGTTCTTTTGGAGCACTCTTTCAAACCTTGTTACCTTGTTTGACTAAACATAACTCTGTATTCCTAT